TCTGCTTGTAATTTGTCGTTTAGTTTGCCTTCTTTCCTTAAACTACTTGATTTCCTGAAGTACGTCTTCATCAAAAAATAGTTCTGAACTCGGACGCGATGCGAAATGACAGTGCGCATCCCAGTTTTCGTGTTTATTTGATGTCCGCACTCTTCGCATAGTTGGCTCTCCTTGACCCTCTCCTCTCATTGTGCTTTGTTATATTCTTTGGTTTTTCTTGTAGCATTTTCTTTTCGCTTCACGGCATCTATTACAAGTCTTCAATCCGTCAAGCTCTTCAATATTTTTTGTTGCACAACACGATTAGCATACTCGTTTCTCCATCTTGCTATAATAAAATGTGTAGTCTTCAGACAGGGTTGGACTGATAAAACAAACATTCTGATATATTCTAATACTTGAGTTCAGTAGTGATTAGAACATCATGCCTGGTGTTCCTTCAAGCAGAGCAAATGAAATAAAGTGCGGGGCAACATTTCCGAGCTACTTAACCATTACCCCACACTGTCGATGCGCTTATGGAAAGCACACGGTGCACTGGCATCTGGGGGCACTTGAAGTCAATGACTAATTCGTCTAAGTAGTAAAAAATTAAACAACAATCTAAATCGCTTCTTGTATTCTTCATGAGGATAGATCCTCTAGTTCATCTATAATGGCACTTAATCTAGCACTATACATTGTATCATGTTGCTCTCAATCATCCAATCTTCGTATCCTTTTGATTTTGTCTTTTAGGGCATAAACAATCCATATACTAATGTGTATATATCAAACCAAAGTACTGTGTGAAATGTACTATTGTTCTTGAACTCTTTCAATTCGTGTTCTAACTTAGTTATTCTTTCTTCTGCCTCTTTTGGTGTAATTGAGCGACCTGTTCCCACTTTTCCCTAGCCCATATTAACAGTATCAATATCTTTCTTGTCGTCTGCGTTTGTTTTCAGAATGCTCTGGTCGTGGGGGGTCGCACCACAACCCGTTCCTAAACGCCAACTGCTCCGTTCCTCGATCTGATTTACTATTATATTGCCTTCCTTATCGGTTGTTGCTTCGTTTCCTTATGAAATACGTTTCTACCACAATGACATAAATTACAACTGACACTGCCTTTACCGATATGAAAGGTGCGCTTTCTTGATGCCTTAGATTTTATTCTAGAATATTGAATAATTGCTTTCATTAGCTCAAGTAGGTTGTAACAACACCTACGATATTCATTTGGCATTGTTATTTCCTCAAGGTTTTCAATTTCGCTGATTAATGCAATATAATCAGCATATGTAATTTTATGATTCTACATATATTATTAGCGACATAAAATTTCTAGGCATTACTGATAGTAATTATACCTATACTTAAACCAGTAAATATAAAGGAATATGAATTCAAGCAATCTAAATATGATGTAGCATTCAGATTGCCGTTTTCACAAATCGTAACCAGCCCTAGCCGTTCAGGAAAAGGAATTCTACTTCAGTCCATGATATTAGTTATCTATAGAAATGTTTTTGAGCGTGTTTATGATTGTATGCTTCAATTTCAGTTGATAGGAATTGGACTCCAGTGGAGGAGTCGAAGGTTGATTGAGAAAAGGAAAAGTGCTGCTTTGACCAATACATCCGAGAAGAATTAGACAAGGTGATAAGACAACAGCATAAGGTAATAGAGTATCAGAAGAAAAACGTCCACAAGAAGTTATTTTCAATCTTCATGATTGCTGATGATTTCGCAGACAGCAAGGCATTTCTACAGTTCATTATCAAATCAGTTGTATATTCGAGGCAGACACAATGCAGTTAACATCATTTCAGCAAAGCAGAAATTCAATGCCTTGAGTCCCGTCATTCGGGATAATAGCTGTCAGTTGTTTTTCTAGAGGTTGAGAAATTACAAACAGATTGAAACGAAGGTGGAGTAATTGTGCGCCGTATTGATTAACAAGTTGTCCGTGGCAGACGCTAAAGTTCTAGCGGATGCAAAGAAGCTGATGTTAGAAGTGAATGTTTTAGCTGCGGAAGAACCATACAGTTTTCTATTCGTTAACATGATGACAGGCGATGTAAATGATATGTTTCATAAACGAGTTAATGCTTAATTAGCTTTGGTTAACAATGTTATAAGTCATAGTATTGTTAATCAAAACAAACTAGGATTACAACAGTGTAAATGTATAAAACTAAAACAGGGGCATCTTCGCTTCTTTTTCAATGCTTCTGCCTTTTTTCTTCTTCCTCTAAGCTATGTAACTAATCTGTCACCGCTTTAAAAAGTATATCTGTTTCGGATATTTCTTTACTTTTTTGTTTGGTTACTTCCATGCGAGAAGTATACTCTGTACTGAAATCAGTCATATATGTGTATAAATATACATATCTATTCGGGTGCAGGCGCATAGGTCGCCCTGTTGCTTTCTATACGTCAAAGTGGCACGCAGTCTAGGTTTTAGTGCGATTTCGAGGATAAGCATGGTAGTTGGACATCCAGGAAACTATTGCATTAAGGAGAAGATTTCACTCTTTGTTACGTGCTGTTTGGGTATCTGGCACTGAGTGTGTTAACACGGAGTCTGCAACCCGCAGCCTGTAGAGAAACAAAAACGCTATCAACACCAGTGTTTTTGGGCATGGTCGCCAAAGGCATGGACGCTTGTGACAGCTTTCTTTGCTCCACATCCTTTCACAGTATGTTGTACAAATGTTTTGGGCATGGTCGCCAGAGGCATGGACGCTTGTGACAACGTCTCTTGTTCCACATGTTTTGCGCAGTGTGTTGTACAAAGAGGTGAAAAGGCTGTAAACACCAGTGTTTTGGGCGTGGACGCAATATGAAAGACGTTCTTTTCCTCCCCCATCCCCCCCACCCTCCAGCTGAACAACACCTGAAAAAAACTTTCAGAAGGCTTTAAAACCTGAGAAACACAGGGCGACCTATGCGCCCGCCACCATCTATATACCTTCGCCTTTGCCTTTTCCCTTTAAGTTCTTTACTTCTTTTTTCAACTCATTTGTATCATTTAAAGCAGATAAGCAGACCAAAGCAGTGGCGTTGTCTTTCCATGATCCATTCGTAAATATTCGATAACTCTTATCCGCTGATTCACTTACTGCTCCGCTAATGTGTAAACCTGTGCTTGAAAACTCACCTTATTAGACCCATTAATATAATGAAAAATAATGCGGTCACTATCGTTCACGTCAAATTCCACCCTTTGACCGCCTGATGCATCAGCGTGTGTTATATCTGAATTGTCTAATGAATTGACTCATTCGTCACTAATAGATATTGCGGGTGTGCTTCCTATCGTCCCTACAATCATATTAACTGACCTATCTGTATCACCGTTTCTAATATCTAAATCATAAACACTGCCGTTTACAGTTTCCTTATTCCTGACGAATGTTGAAAGTTCAAATCGCTCCATACATTCAATGTTGCTTCTGATGTAATTTTTCCTACGCCGTATGCTGTTAAATGTTTGATTATTTACTGCTGCTCTATTAACTGCAATTCCGGTAGTGTCGTCTAATTGAAGAATATAGTCCCAGTTGTAGGGTCAGTTGTTCTATCGCTTTGAAGACTACTTTT